TGGCTGGGGAATTCTGGGAGTTGAAGTCCACCCATCTTAAGGTTGCTGAGGTTGAGGAACCATGTATTAGATGATAAACCCTAAACAATGCAGACACTACTTGACTTGGCTGGATTAGTTCTTCTTGAATCTATGACAATACTATGGGATTCCTAAAAGCACAAGCAAAAAGGTCCCACATGCATACCAAATATTATTGTTTAATGAGTAACAATCCAAATTATGACAACGTTCTGTTTTCAATAGCCAAATCATTTTGTTCTGTGGAATGAAAAAAGAACTTCAGTTTGAAAAATCCTATTGAGCAATCAACTGAGGACAGTGTTTCCCCTTGGCAACCCCATTTGTGCATGGACTTTAACCCCCAGAATTCTATCAGTGGTAATGCTCACGGCGGAATTCTGGGACTGGAAGTCTACATGCCTGGAAATTGCCAAGGTTGGGAAACACTGTTGTAGAAGGTTGTTGATTCTTCTTTAAATTTCTTCATGATTAAAAAGACAACTGAGCTTCACAACAGAAGTTGAGATCTGGCATTGACATTTGTTTTAATCTCCATCTTCAAAAGAAAAACAAACCATGGTGCAGCACTGGAAAGGATGTGACTGGCCCTGATACATGGGTATTCAAAAGTAGTATATGTTGGAGGGACCTTCCTTGTCAATTTTTCAACTTAGCTCAATGCTTGGCCCGCAGCAAATCTTCGACTGAATTCCTGGCATATCCAGAGGATATCAAGCAACAAATGCTGTGAGATACTGGAGTTCTGCAGTCTACTGGGAAGCAGATGCTCCCCTCCCTGAGCACTTTTTAAACAGAACTAATACAAATTGCTATACGGGTGACAGAGCATGGCAATCATTGATATATTTACCATTTAAGCAAAAAGAGGGAAATTCAAAAGTTTTAGAAAGATCTGACTACGGAGGTAGAATGTACGCAGTGGACCATGGATGTCTGCAACTCTGCTGGCTTTTCTCAAAACTATGAAAGGAGTGTTGCTCTATCAGCTCCAGCCCTATGTGTGCAACTTCACAACTTATGTACAAAAGGGGACGCTGCTTTTGTCAGGCTGACAGAATTTTTGTACTATAGGTTTGTTATTCACAGCGGTCTTGTATTTTAAATCCCAGGCTTCGTTTAAAAGGGAATGCTGGTTTCAAAATAGGATATGGACATTTTTTTTCTATTAATTTTAAACTGTTAAGCTTAATTCGTAATCTATAGGGTGGATTCAAAGATCCATGAGCTGCAAAAAAACCTTAACCATGAGCAGTGCTCCATAAGCACAATACTGTACTAGATGCTAAAATAAAGAGTAAAGTTCCCAGGATTTTGTTTAATTTTTGTCATGAAACATTATAGCACAACATATAAACAGCCACTCCTCCTTCAATAATTTTAGTTAGCAATTTTTACTGTATTAACCAGGTATCCTCAGTTTAAAAGCTTAATAGTGATTTTTAATTTTTCCTTTAAAAATGGGATTTCAATAATTTCATAAATAACTGAAGATATACTGAAAAAATGTAATCTTCCTGACATTTTAGATCCCATGTTTACTTATTTCTATTTTACTATTTGTACTTTACTCATCTGTTCTTTTTATATGTCCCTTATCTTTCTTGGTTTAGGTTATTTTTTGAAAATGCTTAATAAAAATAACTTTATTATTTTCAGCCTCCTACAAACGGAATATGCCTTTTTTTACGCTGAAGGGCATCTCCTAATACAAATTAATGGGAACACCAGACTAAAAATAACATTGATTTTAAGTACTTTAAGATGACAACTGATATCACCCAAGCACCTGTGGGGGAGTGGGGGTTGTGAATTTTTTCCCCCAATATGTACCACTGTGCTTCCTGCACATCCTCTGCACAAATTAAATCAAAGTTTTACCATAAATTTAGTTGATTATTACATTAAATAACAATGCACATCTACATAAATCTGTCCTTGAGATAAGCCAATCACTGTCAAGGAAAAAAAATATTTCCTTTATTTTTCTTTTAGATGCTGCACACAGACATTTCCCTTTTCATACATGAAAGAAGACAACATTCCCCTAATGGCACACTTTCTATCTGCAGATTATATGATTATTTGTATCACAAACCAAAAACAAAACCAGATGCCAAAAATAACTGAAAGCACCTTTTTAATGTATCAAAAGCTTTTTCAAGTAATATGGCTGTTTTAAAGCTGAAATTCTATGCATTCTTACTTGAGAATAAGCTGCTCTGAACATAATGGGGCTTACTTTTGAATAAAGATGCATAGGATTTAACAGCTCAACAAATAAATGCGGCAGCCCTAAAATGAAATATCTGCTCATCTTTTAAAAGAATAGACTAGTGGGAGAAAGGAGCTTTTTAAGTCATGAAGAAATCCAAACACTGTCAAGTGTCATCATTTTATAAAATCCCATTGGTTTTAGCTCAAAGTTTTCACAATGCAACTGAAAGCTTTGCTGTGGGTGTCCATAGACACAGTAAGGTGCAACAGTATTGTTTTTAGCCAGATAGTTTACTCTCAACATGCCCAACTCACCTGAATTGTTGCTCGTGACACATATTTCATAAGCTTACAAAATCATAATCCTTTCTCCTTGGAACATTCTTAATCTTTTTTTTTTTTTTTAATCTTGTGCTCTGTGATTTTAAAAAAAATCCCTAAGGTAATTATAGAGATGAGCTTGAAAACAAAGGATAGTGAAACAATGGACCTTATTATAAATGGAGCTTTTAAAAACATGGTCAAGTAGGCTTTGCCATTTCAGTTAATCCCATTGCAACTGTAGATCCTGTGGATCAAGAAAATCTGTTGAAAACATGCTTGGAGCTGTTGAGCTGAGAGGCGTTAATCCTGATGAAGCATTTGGCATGGTGAGGTCTAACCACTCCATATTGTCTAAATTTGGATCTGGAAGGTCAAGAGATAAACATGAACTGGGAGTGAACTGTGAATCAGAAGTCTCCATAGGTGACTGGGAGTGATCTAGTATACCAGAATGATTAAGGAGGTCATTCTGTAGATCCTCAATTACAGAGAAAGATTCCTTGTCCTCGTTACCGCTTGTCAGTTGAGACATTCCGTTACCTGATGGTAGAGTTCCTTCCAAGAGAGCTTCTAAATGATTCTCCAGAGCTAAAGAGAAATTGCTTGTTAGTTCTAAGGAAAGAGGAGGAGCCATTTGGACTTGTGGTGGTGGACGTGACACCACCGTGTTGACTGGCATTGTGGTGATATTGGCGGTAACTGGCCTCATTTTGGAAATCAGAGAAGGTTCTTCCTTCATAGGCATAGAAATCTCTGCATAAAAGGCAATGGCAGATAAATCAGTAAGATATTTCACTGAATCCATAAAGTAAAAAGGAAAGAACTCACTTCATTGGATTGCTTTAACAAAACACATAATTTTTTGACACACTGAACTTACATTACTCTTCAGTCTCTGAGTCAATCTTGACTCTTGTAGTTTGATATAAATCACTTATCAAGGCAACATCAGACCAACAGTATCAGTATAAAAAGGATTTTTGTATGGACTATACTCCTAAATAAATGACATGATTTTTCTTGACAGAAAGCCTGCCACAAAATAATAATAAACAGATAACCGTTTCAGTGAATCAGTTATTTGAATTTTTTCTGAAAGATTTCTTTTTTTCAGCTTAAGTCCACAGGCCACTGTAATGACTGAATGGGCACAAGATCTCTACTCAGCACAGTAGGTCCCAAAATGATTGATTGAATCAGTGCAACATACTATAACTACCCCTCCATTTGCTGGTTAATGAACTATCAATAACTGTCTGATATATGAGAAAGAGATTGGGACCCTGCCAAACTGAGATGGTTTCAAAATTATTACTTATACCATCAAAGATGAACACACGGGTAATAAGCTGATTTTCTGCGTCAAATAACCAACGACACAAATAATTTGGTACAGATACAATCCTAAACTAGAATTCTTGAGAGCTGGCTAAAGAAATTAGAAGGCTTTGTCCCTTGGTTACCATTACATCTGACTCAGGGTCCCCATTTTGCTGCTTTCCTGACAAGGCTGAATCAAAAGTCAAGTTTTATTCTTGGCTTCAGATTCTGATCTGTCAGAAAAATAACCGTTTGGGTACCTGATCCAGATGTTACATTAAAACATGTCTGGAGGTTTCACACTCTGTTTAATCACTTCTGCTGGCAGGAGCCACCAAATGGGAACAATCAAACAATATGAATCACCATGTTTGTTCTTTCTGACTAAGCCAAAATACTGCAGAACTCTGAAATGGTCCATCTACAGATGTGCAAAACTAGTTGATCCAGCAACAGAATATTCTGGAAAATGTCTAGCCCTAAGCATGCCTGTTTCATTCAAAACACTATGGCTTGGCTAGATCACTGGGAACCACTTCCAGTTCAAATGATTTACTTCCAGAAACTGCCAAAACGCCCCTGGAACAGTATGATTTGGAAGGAGGTTTGGCCTGGTCCAGAGAGAAACAATGTTCTGTTCCTGGACTGGATAATTTTGCAATAACAATTGCAAAATTGTTCAATAACAATTGCAAGTTGTTTCACCATTTTAAAAAAACAACAGATGATTCTATATCTTATTTCCTTGGAATATTCATAACATGGTCCTCTAGATTAAAGACATTCAAAAATCAAATCCTCTCTCAGGCATGTGTTCTATTTCAGTGCATCTCACCTCCGCTCTTAATGAGGATATCAAAAAGGTCATCCATCTGCTGGCTGTGGGCACTGGAAATCTGTTAACAAAAGACACTTCTTGTTAATTTTACCATACAATTTTCCAAAGCATGAAGATGATTCTTATTCTACAGTAGTTTGGGATAGAGAATACACTATAGAACTGTAGTGTATTCTATATTTGTACTTTAAACTGTAGATATATTGGAAATCCCACTAGCTCCTAAAGAGCTATCAATCTGATGTATGTCTATTTTAATATATTAGACAACCAGAGACATTTTGCAGATTTGAAATTAACTGCTAAGAATTAATCCTGCTAAAACTGAAGCCCAACACATGCTTAATTAGAAATAGGCCCCACTGAATTCAGTTGGAGTAAGCATGGAAGAAATGTGTTTACATAACAGTAAACCAGCATTTCTAAGAAAACCAGTCTTCTATCATACAGAGAGGTGTGCTATATAACAGGTAGCTCAGCTAACAGAAATCAAAATACAAGAACATAGTGAGAAACATCTGCTCAAAGCATATTCATTACTGCCTTCACTATACAGAAAAAGAACAAGAATTTTCCCTGCCAGCCAGAGTTACTCAGATAGCTTGCTTTTCTGCCATGAATGTTCACATGCACTGACCCTTTGCCCCAAATTTTCATGCTGTTCTGACCTGTGGAACTACTAGAGGAAAGATCATACCACTGTCAAAGTCCTCATCCATGCCTGTCCCCAATAACATCTATTGACTACAAGACCCTACCCTGCCACCAGTAAATTCATACTGGCATGCTTAACATTAGTCAACCCAAAACCCAAGGAGAAAAGCAGCCCAATCTGGAAGCACTGCTATTCTTCTAATGGAAGAAAGTAATTCAGAGTAGCTTTAGAGTAATTGTATTGTGTATGACAGGACCTCTTTTTTGAATTGGCTTTTTATTTGATCCCACTCCTTTAATTCCAGGGGGGTTGTGTAGCTACACAGCCAGTTCCTTGTAATTTTTAGTCTTCTAGCCAACAAGCAGAAACATCAAAAGGGAGCAAGGAGAACAAAAAGAAAAGAAAAACAACCTAGGTACAAAGCTTTAAAGTCCTTTCATAAAGAAATTCAGTTAAATTCTCTTTTAATTGGCAAACTCAATTTGGTAATTTCAACTAAAAAGCTTTGTGTGTAACGCCCTTCCAACTGATGATCTTGAGCAGAACTTGGCAGATTCTTTACCAGCGTCAAAAGGAGGAGAATCTTGGAGTGGTTTGACCAGCAAAGTCAGACAGAGTAGAATTTCTCTTGCACTGAGTCTAGCAGCAGGATTTGCCATGATCTGCCAGGCAGAATTTCTTCCTGAAGCAACGTAAGAGCTGCCTTCCTTCCTCCTCTATTAGCTGACCTATAAAGAAGAAATCTCCTCATTCCCTTTGATCCTTCACAGCCTTGCTAAGAGCTGTTGCCAAACTGGCTGGCTGAGATTGTTAAAACTCATTATTCCAACTGGCTGAAGAACACCAGCTATACTCATGAGTAAGCAAGTATTTGATCTTGTCACAGATGCCTTATCTTTAGACTCCCTTGCTTTTCTTCTTTTTGGTCTCCCTTACAAAGAAAAATCTATTTGGCTTTTTCTGATGAAGCACTAGTTGAGCCAAACCCATGGTCTGGCATGGCTATCTTTGCCTGCCCTCTGAGGGAATGTTGACGAAGTGGACACTCAGGAAATCAATTCACTTTAAGATTTCAGAAAATTCTAATTCCACATCTTCACATCTGTTTTTTAGGATTGAGCAGTGAACTAGATCTGAAGGGGGAAAGGTAAGTCAGAGCACATGGAAGGGCTCACACAACATCTCTTATCAATTCTTTAATGAAGCTGAGTGCATAAATAATATGTATTCAAATAAACAAACATGCTGGTAACTGCTTTTCTGCTTACTTCTCGGTGAGAAGACTGCAGGCTGCGAGTCTGTTTGATGGCTTCTTCATAGCGTGGAGGGTCTTTCGTTTTGGTTCCTGAATTGTTGAACAATGACTGTTGCAAAATGTATTGCTGGGACTGAGGTGGGGAAGGTGGCTGCAGGAAACAATGGATTCAGTTAGCAAATAAATGTGGCAGTCAAAAAGATTTTAAATAATGTTTTTAAAGAGACCCATGTCTCCCTTTTTATTTTATTTATTTACTTACAATGATATATAACATATTTATCCTGCTTTGTCATTAAAAGCAATTTCAAATCAAGGTAATAATGCCCTGTGATATTTTTATTAAAAGGGTGAGGAAAAAACACTTAACACTCTACATTCCTTTCTATGGTGAGTAGTAATGGTAGTCACAAGCAGATATATGGAATCTCCAACACAAGGGGTTTGTTCTGACTACCAAAATTGCATTCCATCCCACCCTTTCCCACAATCAGGACTGATCAAAAAAGCTTCTCCTGAATGCTATGAAGAGGTTGGGGGGGGGGGCTTAACTGGGTAGGTTAACTCCCCTGAGCACTGCAATTGCCTCAAATTACCTGCTACCCTACCCACTTTTGTGCTTTCGAGTCAGTCTTGACTCCTGGCAACTACAGGAACAAGTCTCTGCAGTTTTCTTGCAACATTTCTCAGAAGCAGTTTGCCATTGCTTCCTTCTGCCTAGGGCTGAGAGAGGGCATGACTGGTCCAAAGTCACCCAGTTAGCTTCTGTACCTAAGGTAGGACTAGAACTGGGGTTTCCCTGTTCCTAGTCCAGCACCTTAATCTCTACGCCAAACTGGTTCTTACCTACCCTATATTAGGCGTGAAGAATGGAGCCCACAGCAGCTTTTTCCAACTACTACTGTAATGGTGATAGGGGATGTATGCACATGTCTAAAAAGGTGTTTAAGTGTTTGAACTACCTGTATGTGTGAGAGCTTTCAGATCTGTGACAGATGCCCACCTCAAGCACGTGGTCCCTAAAACGTGAGCTATAATAAGATCCACTCCATGGGCTTCAGAGGTTATCCAGCCTGGTATGGGTTTTAAGATTTTTTAAAACCTCATTCTATCCCAACATTTCCTTGAGATTAAAAGTCCTTATGCCAAGGTAAGATTTTTTTTTTTTTTTTGGTCCCCCAAAGTGCAAAGATGTGTGCTGCGGTCATTATAGATGGGATGTCTCAAGCCCTGAAGCAGCACTCTTTGGGCAGGATAGGCCTCTACAAGGGAGAATAAGGCGTACCTTCTGAAGAGCATTCGGTCCATTTTGCACTAAGGGCGCTTGGTTCCCTGAGTGAGGTGTAGTATTTGATGCCTGATTAAACAAAGGTTGCTGCAGGTTTGTAGCAGTCTGATTCTGATAGGAAAACACTGTATTAGGTGAGGTAGGAGGAAATACCTGTAAAAACAAAATGCAGTATTTAAAAACTTCTGTATAAAGAACCTTTTAAACTAAAATAGGCAGGGTTCATAACGAAACAATAAAAACAACCCCTAATATTTATAACACAATAATAAAAGGTAACTTGAGCCCAGTCAGAACAGCAAGGAATCCAAGTTCTTTCCTTAAGAAGACTGTTTTTAGTTAGCTCTCATATTGTTTCCAAACAACACGGCCCTCCCTGGGTGTGAGATGTTAAGATGTCAAAGGGCCAAAACTTACAGATGAAAATAACTGCTATCTTTGTCCATACACATGTACGTCCACCCAAAACAGGATCACGCACGCAAATGCACACACATTTATCTTCAGAGCGGATAACTAAATGACCTGTGGCTCAACATAGCAGGAAGCATAAAGACCAGAACCCAGTTATGCAATGCTTTAAAACTCTGAATCAGTCTGAAAGTAATGTAGAAACATCAACAAGGCTGGCAATACAGTTCCAATGTTTCAAGAGGTCTAACCTACTTCATATAATAGGTTGTCGTATACTGCACCAGTCATGGCTTATAAATCATACTCACGGGCAGCCACACGTGGTCCCATTACAATAGTATAGCCAGGAATTTTCAAGAGTGTGGATGATGTATTCTCCCCAGGTTAGGGCTACATCCATTCATTCAACTTTTAGGCAATTGTTCTCTCTCTTTATCTTTTTCATGGAGCTATCAGGAGGTGTGGGTACTGCTAACAAGATGGGTGGACTGATGGTCATGGCAGCAAAACTCCTCCCACTATTCTCATGGGAGGCATAGTAAGAGGAACAGGATTTCACGCAGGAGTGGGTTGTCACATGCTCAGAAGAGACACGGAGGGGTGAACCATGCTATATTTTCAGAATGTCAACAGAGCACTAAGCAGAGGGGATAGCTACAATAGAAGCTACTTGTAGGTATCTGCATTTCTTACTGAATAGAAGTTGTTCAGTGGAATGTTACCACTCCTCTCCAAAGAAATGCACAGTCAGACAACTCTGATCAAAATAAAAGAGTTGCACTGGTTGTAAAAATGTTGGGAAATTTTAGAGCAGCCTTCTTCAACCTGGTGCCCTTAAGATATTTTGCATTAGAACTCCAGTTTTTCAGCCAGCATAGCCAATGGTCGGCACAGAAATTGGAAACTATAGTCCTAAACATCTAGACAAAACCAGACTGATGAAGTTGCTGTGTAATTTAAGTTAATATAGCTATGCTTAAAAGAAATAAAATCAAGTTAAACTTTGTTTATAATTTAAATTTATAAGGTGCCCCAACTCACAGTGGCTGCATACAAATTAAAAACAAAACCTGAATACATTACTGAAGAAAATAATAATAATTAAAAAAAACCATACCAGCAGTATACAAACCATAATCCCATTCATATGGACATACATTCCAGCCTAACCCAGAGTCTGGGGAAAACACCAGATCTTCAAGACTTGTTTAAAGGACAGCAGGGCCAGGACTATTCAAACTTCTGGGGGATATTATGCCAGACAGCAGGTACCACAATAGAGAATGTAACTATTTCTAACATTTTTTTTTTTTTAACATTCTCAATATAGTATGCCTCATTTACCACTGCAAAACGATTCAAGCATTTACTTTCAAACGGGGAACAGAAATTCTGGCTAAAGTTGAACATCAGAACAGGGCAATGCATGATTAAATCCTGCATGTTATTCCACTCTAGATCCTGTTTTATAGAAGAATGACTGTACAAGCCCGTGTAAGTAGAAGATTAAAGCACTTTAGCTGCAGGGTATTCTTGGTACATAAACATTCACCAACCTTTCTGTTCTGTGAGGTTTGGCCAACTGCATGCTGCGGAGAAGCATTTTGTTTGGGGGCTGACATGTGCATCTGTGGGACTTTGGGGGCCAAACCGGAAGAAGCAGATACCTGTCCCATGGCTGGAATGCCAGCTTGTGTTTGAACCTAGAGGAGGAAATGTATGGCTTCATTTTATTGGATGCAGAAGGTAACTGCGTTAACATCAAGGCAAGCTAGAGGCATAATTTTCCATTTTGCAGGCATCAGACTGTTTTAAATGAATACATGCAGGACCTGCACCAAATTTAAGCCTCTCTGAAATTTTTGCACACTGAAAGGAATAAATGGTTTAAGAGTTATGCATCAGCCACAAGATAACCGTCTGGTGAACTGGGCAAGTGGAGATGCCCCAATGACCTTTTGCAGCTGAAGTCAAAAGGAAATTTTAATATATGAAAAGTCTGTATGTGTGCCTGTACGCATATATATCGCCTTATGATGACAAGACACTTCTTTTAGGGATAACAGAAACAAAAGCATAGTCAAAATCAGGCACTTGTTTAATACGTTAATTGGATAAGAACTTCTGTTAGCTCAAAGCAAGCATTTGGGTTTTTGCTCATTAACTTTGCCCCAGAAAATGGAGGAGAGAGTTTAGGTAACCCCAATCCCATGTAGATTATTTCCTATTACTATTCCAGCTCCAATTCTACAGCGCTTCATTGGAAAAGGTCAAAGAATTGAGCTTCTGTCAGTTTCCAACTCATTACAAGAATCTGTAATTTCTTTGAAAATGAAGGAACACAAAGCACCCTACATTGCATCAATTTATGCACATGTAACTGTTCCTCTTTAGATGATACTGGATGTGGTTTGAAGGACAATCATGCCTGGAGTTGCCTAACTAATACTATAATTCCATGAGTCAGCACGTTACACCAGCAATTCGCAATCATGCGTGCTTCTGTCAAGGAGATATTAAACCATGACGTCAGTTTGCCTTCACAACTAGAATCCCAAATCCCTCAATCTCCTTTTCACAAAATATTAACATTAAGCTTCCAAGTCCTTCCATGTATTTGGGGGAAAAAAGTTAGCATATTTCAAGTTTCATTCACTAATTGATCCTCGACTAGTAGTCACTGGCTGATTCAGGTAGCTAAAAACGTACCTGGATATTGCTCGCAGGTAGTTGCACTGAAGCGGCTGAATTTGGACCCTGGAGAGAGAGCGGCAGTAGCAACTGTGCGGTTCCCTGGGCAGCCAGCAGAGCCTGAGGATGGGCAACCACAGCAGTCTGCGGCTGTCTCTGTGAACTCACATAGAACTGAGATATGACGTTTTGTGGCTCAACTTTGGCTAAAGGTATTTCTTGCTTGATAACCACAGCCTTTTTGGCAACTGGATTTTGGACATCTGCTGGCCTGGGCTGCCCTAAAGAATGACTGGCGTCAGGTACCAACCGCCTTGCCTCAGAGCTATCTGCTACAGAGTCTTCTTTTTTGACAGATATGGGGTTATGCTGCTGATTTAAAGTCATTGATGGTTTAGCAGAAGCTTGGGACTGCTGCTGATGACTCCGCTTTTCAACCTCCAGCTGCATTTTCAGCACTTCCACTAATTTCTGCTCTTGTTCCAGTTTTCTTTTCAGCTCTTCAATCTGCTTCTCTTTCTCTTGAAGCTTACGGTCCTTTTCGGTGGCATCGAGGTCCATGCTTGACGTGCTTCCGTCTTCAGTTGGGGCTGCTCGAAGAGGCGAAGTGCTTGGGAACTGTGACGGAGACATCATGGTCATGATTTCTGTCAAAGTATCTGCCATGTTAGTATCATCAGTTCCGAGACTGGACTGTTCAGAAGGAGATGGGGAAATGGGCAAAGGGGATCCCACACATTCCAGGGGTCCTATTTTGCTGCCAGTTCCAACAGGTGTTGTTTCTGAAGAGGTACTGGGGACAGAATTCACTGCTTGCTTATTTAATGGTGCAGGAGGAAATGACGTAGCTATTTCCCCAGGTTTACTAGTTCCGTTACTGGAAGCAGTTCCTGCCACTGTATTACTTGTGCCAACAGAATTATTGTTAAGATCCTGATAGGGTTTCAAACGCTCAATAAGATCCATTTTAGTTCCAGACACAGGCAATCCTCTTAGCTTCAATTCCATTTTCAGTTCAGCTACCTGAAATTTGGGGGGTGGGGAGGAGGGAGGAGGAGAGAGTTATTTTTAATGGAAATGAAGCCACTAAATTGAAGCAATTCCAATGAAGAAGTTATTACCATCAGAAGCAACACCACCAGCAATGTATTGAGTTATTTAAATCCTGCTCATCATTCAGGAGCTCAAGCAGTGTATTGGTACTTCCTCCTCCCACTTTTCTACCCAACAACCCTGTGAGTTAGGTTGGCCAGAGGGACTGGCCCAAAGTCACCCAGGGAGCTTCTCTGACTGGATATTGGCTTGAACCTGGTTTTTCCCACTCTTTGTCCAATATTTTAACCATTATACTGTATTTGCTCTCCTTAGGGAGGAAATTAAAGTAAAAAAGCAAAAGACAAGGTGAACAGGTGCATATTACAGAGACATTTATAAGTAAAACAGAGAAACTGAGTCAAAAATCAAGGCATTCCAATGATGTGGTTTCCAAAGAAAAAGGGAATGCATGCAGAAAAGAGAGAACACCGAGAGACGTCTTAGGTTTCAACAGTGGGCCAGTATCTGCAAAATGAGCATACTGAGGAAGAGCACAGTGAGATAAAAGATGCATAGAGTGTGTGATCAGGCAGATATCTGAGAAATAGGATATCAAGAAAGAAGGCACTGCAGAGTAAAACAGAAAAGTATAATGTACCCTGAATAATGGGCATGACACATTAAAATGAATAGAAGCAATTTAACCATGTGGATCCTGCCTGAACAAGACATTCAAATTCATGGCTTTGTTTGAGACTTCCATGCATCTACATCTATATATCTCTGTCTCTGCCTCTATATACATCTACATCTATGCTGATGGACAAGCTGTATGGTAAGATGCTTACAGAGCTCTAACTTCTGGACAGGATGTTTAATTTCCATTGTGTTTTGGAAGAATGATGCCTTTTTAGAACAGCTTCAACTCTGCATATATTGGGAAGCCAAGAAGAAAAATAGTAACTCTTGGTTTAATTATTCAAAAGCCCTACTGAAGTTTCTGAAACAAAGAAACCACCTCAGCCCAAATAATATAACTATTTAGAAATATAATCTCTGAATCTGGAGAAGAGGTAGCATTAATTTGTGTAGTTGTCAAAGGACTTCTGTAGACAATGTAATATCCCTACAGACAGTCCCTGCAGTTTGGTTATTCACAAGGTTAACTGAATGTATTCAGAGTTGTAGGAGTTTACCTAAATTTTAAAGATGGAGTTGAAATCAAAAAGGTGACAATCTTTTTCATGCTTTACGCTTTTGTAAAAGCTTATTATAGTCCATTAGCTTCACTTCCTCCTGTCATACTTTATTCGAGCAGGGTACCAGATCCCCCTAAAATGAACAATGGATTTGTGTAACCCCACACGAATAGGACTAATGATTTCACTGGGGTTATGGTCAGGCAAGAAATAAGCATACCATTTACTTTTAATAATTAAATTTAATCTATTTATTGCAGTGATTGTCACACTTTGTGGTACTGCAACCACCCACAAGGCTTATGCAGGCAAAGCAAGATGCAAAGCCAGGAGTGAATTTTGACAATGCTCTCATTCAGCCTAGGCAAGCCTGATCAGGTTAAAAAAAAATATAACACCCCCCCCCCCAACTGCTCATGACCCCCAGGCGGGCCCTGATGCACAATTTAAGAATCCCTGCACCAGAAGTTTCTTCCACACTAAAAGGGCTATAGAAAATATTTCTGTTTATAGCAGAATAAGCTGTTAATACCAAAAAGAGTGTGCCTAATTGCATCTTAACGACCAACCCTCTATTCTTTTTAAAACATTAACTGCTAACAGCTGCAATTTCATTTCTCGGCTGCATGAAGCAGAACTATTAATAGGCAAGTACTTGAAGGCAGAATGCTAAAATTATCCTCCTGCCTGCCTTCCAAAACATTCGGGTTAACATCCTTTGTGTTCTGCTATCCAACCCCATTTATCCCCTTAATAATCCATTAAGGATAGGATAAGCTGAAAGACCACAACCAGCTCTCTGCAGTCTGTATCTATGAAACGATCTACTCTACCATCTAACTCTGGCTTATTTATAGAATCCATCCCAATCTGCTTTCTCTGCATTAACCATAATTTTATTAACTTCTTTTATGTCTGCCCTTGTCCTGTTGTTATGGTTGTTTTTAAAGTAATATTCCCCTCCCCCCCAAATCAGGTAGTTGCTGCAGTCTCTAGAGTATTTAGGTGCTCTTTCCAGCATCTTTTTCAACTCAGGACCAAAATGTCTGGGGTTAGCCTTATAAGGTAGACCAGACTGAAAAACAGACACCATGTAGACCTAAAGCTACTTTTATTAGAATGGCTATAATAACAGAATCTTGCAAATTGGAATGTGCTTCTCTCACTCCTTTAACTGCATGTGAATTGTAGCGGATCTTCCCTCTGACCTTCAAGGCCATCCTCTATATCAGTGTTTCTCAAACTCAGCAACTTTAAGATCTGTGGACTTCCCCTCCCAGAATTCTGCTGTATACCCTCTACAGAAGGGAAGCAAATTAGTATAACTCATTTAATCCAATGATTACATATTCATTACATATTCATTGACTTATCATTGCAGCAACATTCTTCTTGGGCAAACCCTGCTGTGTTAGCACAAGATAGCAAGATTGTGCTTGCATGTCATACAAAAAATAAAGAACAAACACAGCCCCACCCACATGTGATGTGGCCCTGCCTGCTTTGCAGGCCTCGGTATCTGAAAATCTGGAACATTTTCCGCTGAGATTTGGCAAGTAGAAATGTAGGAACCACTCTAGATCTGACTTGAAATGAAAGAGCTACTGAAAGTACCCCATTTTCTGTGTGGGAGCTGGAAAGTTGGGTGAAGCACCTGTCAATGAGCAGCGAAAAGAATGATTTGGAATGTGGGTGAGTTAGAAATCATTCTGGGGTCATAAGAAACACCATTTCCAGGTCCCTTGGAAAACATTTGGCATTGCACTCATTTTTTTTTTTACCTTCAAATCATCCAAGCTAGGAGGCAGAGGTCCTGGCTTTCTATTTGAAATACTAGTGTTCTGCCTTGGTGTGCTGACAGCTACTGTAGATGTGCTGTTGCTCAAAGTATTCAGTGGTATATTCCCAGTGTTACCCTGTTTGTCATTTACTGGCCTTCAAAGGGAAAAAAGAAAAAAAGAAATCAACGCTCAAAACCAACATTTATCTTTTCCATTCATTTCTTTCAATATGCACTGCCAAGTGTTTTCTCTTTAACCATTAAGCATTTTATCTATTTTAAATGGGTTGGAGTAGAGAAATGTAATTTTAAATCTTCAAAATAATCTTGTTTAGCTTTGAAAAATATTTTATTCTGTTAATGTTACTTCCCAGACTAAACTGCAATGTGGAGACAGTCAGACCACATTCATCACACAAAGAGATATACAAGGAATGGCCTTGCCTTTCCTGGAAAATGAAAACTTTCCTGGAAAATGATGTACTTTCCATCAATAATGGAGCAGCCTACTTCTGATACTGATCAAGCTGTTCAGGAGGTTTTTTACCATCCTCCAGAGCAAGTTTTGAATATGTACAATAGCTGCTTATCATGAGCAGCAGTTGTGTAGAGTATAGCTAGATATGTCATTTGCATGAATGCAATTAATAAAAAAGTTTGTCTACAATTAGCCTTGGGGGAGTATGACTACTTCCTGGTCATGGGGAGGAGAATGTAACCCCTTTCTCTCCCTGCCAGTGTCTTACTCAGCACCCCTCCATTAGCACAAAGGAGATTTTCCCTGAAATGCAAACAGCAGATTGGCCTCTGAAATGCAAATTTAGCCAAAATGCAAATAGCCCTGAGGAAAACACCAGTGATACCAATGGAAGAAGAGGATTTCTTCTGCCACCTCTGTTGACAGAGGGGGGAAAAGAAACTCCTCTTCGCACTCCCCAAGGATGCTATTAACATTAACAAAATGCAAATTGTTTGGCTCACCAATTCAATTGTTTAACTGTGGAGTCCTTGGAGTTCTGTGAGTTTGATTGTTTCTAGATCTGATTTGAAATGAAAAAGCTACTGAAAATACCCCATTTTCTGTGTGGGAGCTGGAGAGCTGGGTGAAGCACTGCTAGCTAGATGTTACCTAGCCAGGTAACAAAACGTTTCCAAGAAAACAACCAAGTTCAGAGAACCCCAAGGACTCCACAGTTCAACCCTGAGCTACACATATTCTCTTCTATTGGTATCAATTATTTAACTTTGGCTCTCATTCTGTTCCAAATTATGTACATTATTCATTCTGGACTTGTTACCCATTTTGAGTACTAGCAGAGGAGCTGTTCTTAATCTTGTATACACAGACAAAACTTTGATTCATAATATTGCCATATATTCATCCTAATCTTGCCATCTACAACTGATCTGTGAAAGCCATCGAACAATACTTTTCCATTAACTTGAACTGCTCCACGTTCAGAAGGGGATGTGCACTTCAGGCAAAAGCTCTTGTAGAACTGATATTATTTGTTTTCTACCTTGCATATCTTAATTGTATATTTGGCCTATGTTTTATCTCTCCCTTTAAGGAGGCAAAAGGAGTTTGCACCATACATTCACAACCATATGAACTGCATCCCCTGCCTTTTGACCTTCTTCTACTTCCAGATCCTCAGAGCTAAGACAGGTTGGTTTTCCTGAGTGCTCTAAATTTCAAATGAAACTTTCTGCCATACAGAAAGCTGTTTTCCCACACAATTCACTGCAAAAGACTAAGAAGGGCCCTGAAGGCTTTTCTCGATTAAAAACTCTCTTCCTTCTCTTTCAGGGAAAGGGGGAAAACCAACAAACCAAGAACTGTCCAAGATTCACATACTTGAGTGGTGCAGGAAGAATTGTCTGGTAATTGTAATGTTGCTGCTGTTGGCTCAGGATTTGCAGTTGCAAAAATAGTTGTTGTTGCTGCAGCAAACGAGCATAGTTGGAGTCCATTGGTGGCTCATTTTTCTCTCCTTTCTGATCAGGTGGAATATACTGGTGGTACTTCAGCTTCTTCACTCTGGGCTTTGGTTCTTTGCATTTCTTGCTCCGAGGTCTGTCATTGGGGTTCTTGGGATGAGGTTGCTATTTGCACAAAGAAAATACAAAGCTGTGGTTTGATCCAGAGGTGAAGCTAAATCCAAGACTGCTGTTCTGTGCTACAGCAGTGCTTTTATTTATTCATTCATTAGATGGAAATTTCTTTTCTCCAGGAGCTTAAGATGGCGTGACCTTGTCCTCCAATTTTATCCCCACAACTACAACCATATGAGAAATAGTCCAAAGTCATCGAGTTTCATGGTTGCACATGGATTTGACCAATACACAAACAGTTACAACACACTGGTTCTTGATCAGGAAAAAAATACATATTTATAGATTCCACCTATGGTATATCTATAGACTATAAACTACCACAAAGAGGACTCCTCAGTTATAGATACAGCAAGTGTTATTCCATGTAACCCTCACAATAGTAAGAATTCTGGATTGAATTTAGTATCTGTAGATAACCCAGAAGACAATTATCTTTGGAGCTGCTTTAACATATTCTTTTTGCGTCAGCAGCTGCTCTTAACTATTTACTGTTTTACCCAACTATCCCCCCACCCCAATGCAGACCAAACATAACCTTAGCAATAGAAAAATATTGTTCTGCATCATGTCTTGCTATTTACTGAGACAGAAATATTGGTACATTAATAATGTATGATGCCAGAATTGTAGCTCTGCCTCATCAGTCAGAGAACTATTATCCTAAAATTTAGGTCGGTGTTTTTCAAACACTGATTTAGGTGTTATTTGGTAGAGTCTTTACAAGCTAACGACTGTAGCAAAAGTCGGCGTAACTTAAAAGGTGATATCACCATTATGTCTACTCGATTCAGGGAGTTATCTTATAAAAACAATGTTACAGAAACTGGAAGAGGCATGCCCTTTCCTTCACTCATCTGAAAACCACTAATCCAGCCGGTGACATTCTGAAAAATACAATCATTATATTTACAATATCAGTACCAAGGTAAAATATATTTATTTTAGGAAAATGATTAATAGATACTGCCGAGCTGGATTGCGATACAGATTTCATGCTTGCTTGGCCATGCATGCATGCCTTTTTTCAAAAGTTTTAAAAAGCTCTTGCCCGACTAATTATTGATCTCATTATTCCTGGTAAAATGTTCATTTTTTGCTGAGGAAAGCAGTATAGCTCAACCACCACCCACTATTTTTGTTCTGTCCTACCTTTATTAGTGTTGGCCCACTGCAGTGTTTTGTGGCAGTCACAGAATTTGTGGTAAGAGGGGCAGCAGTTGTTGTGCGTGCAACATGCTGATCTGTGACAGGTGGCTTCAAAAAGTCAGTTCCTGGTGTTGCTATGGAGGGATACTGAGAAGAAAAGAAAACGAGAAACAACTATTTAAACATTTTCCAAAATAGGTGTCAGCTTTTCAAAGAGATTCTATAATACCTATATTCCCCTAAAAGATCAGAGTAGTGAAATTCTCCTGAATCTCTCAAGCCAACAATGTTGGCTGGGGAATTCTGGAAGTTGGTCCATACATCTTAAAGTTGCGGAGGTTGAGAAATACTGACATACATAGTGGATTTCACTGGATTCAAATGACAACTTACTTGGACTTCATACTCCTGAGTGGAGAAAAGGACTTTCTGCTGCTTCTCCACTTCCTAAGGTACAGAACTAATTAGAGGGAATGAAACCCTGAGCCTTTTTTTTACCGCAGCTTTATTCACGAGAGACAAGTATCTTACAACTGCTTGATTTACATTTAGAATACAGCAACATTTAAAAGCCTGGCACTATACCTGTGTGGTGGAGGAAGCTGGGGTGACCGGCGAGGGTATTTCTCTTGTTTTGGGCTCTCCGGGGGAAGCTGTTGAACCTTGGGATTCCTGACTGCCAGGCTGATCTGGAGATAAAGCATCACTGCTGTCTTCATCAAATGAGAAATCATCCAAAGCTTGAGGATAGTTCTCCTGACCAACCGCTAAGAAAAGAGGGATCGTTCTTTTAGCTAAGTCATTATCGAGAGAGGAGACATTTGCCAATACAGCGAACGGACCAAATGGAGGTAGGGGGTTATGTTCTGAATCACTTTTATTCTAATTCATGGAATCTAATATATGGATAGATTCCAATTTTTATTTATTTTTTCTTTTTGTAACTCTCTTTAGAAAAGGGTCATGGCTTTATCAATCACGTATTGGAGTAAAACCAGATTATTCTTTTACGGGAAAAGCCATCCAGATTTACAAAGTTAGACTGATGGTATGCGTTTGCTCACTGTTTGACTTCCGTTGATGTAATGGAAAGGCTGAACAATATTATTCCATAGGCTCAAGTTTAATACTTCGTTATGTATGAAGAAATTTTGTTACATATATATTTTTTTTTATCTGTTTTCTTCTATTTTCATTTGTTTCTAATCATAACAGACCGCTATTAGAGTGACAAACCAAGAATGCTCTCTTGAGGAAGTGTCACAATAACAAAGACACATTCATGATGGATATTGCAACATTTTTAACTTCTGATTTTCATTATCTATTGTTTCTGGCAACAATAGGCCCAGCAGTACTACTTGCCTATAATTGCTTCTTTAACACTGGAGTCTACAGGAAGAATATTTTTTTCCACAAGTTCCATAGGGCCAGGTCTCTGAGCAATCTTCTCATTCAGATCGTCTGCCAATCGTGCCCTCTTTAATTTCATCTGAGTGGCCTGGAGAGACGGTTCTGCAAACGTTTCTGGGGAAAAAGAACTACAATGGTTAAAGCACTTTGAAACTCTACATAAATACTACATACAATGTTTTAGTGTCTGTACCTAAAGTTGTAATGGAAGTAAGAAGGTGGATACTGTAGAACTAGAAAATGAAAATAGAACAGAACCATCTGGAGCTTCCCTATTACAGAAGGTAGAACAAATCTGAAGTGAGACACTTTCAACATAAAAATAACAGCCCCAATGAACTAAACTTTAGTCCTAGTTAGTTAACCTTATAACATTTTGTCATCACAGATCATGGTAAGGAATCATTTTAAATCTGGGTTTTGAATCAGCCACATATTGCTTGGTTCTCACAATAAGGTTAGCCATAAACTTGAGTTTATAAACTGTAATAGATTCACACAACACATTAAATCAAAACCAAACCAACCATATTATGCTTGAACATAACCACTGCCATTTAGTTAGTGTAGAAAGCCACACCCTTTTAATACCTGTTGTTCGGGGTGGATATATACAGCACTGAATGAAAAATGAAAGCATTTTTCTGGGTGGAGGGGAGGTTTGTGCTGTTGTGGATCTATACAATTTTATTTTTACTTATTACTCAGGGCATGAAGTATTATAATAACAATTCTTGCAATGGCTCCCCTTGCTGATCTAGTCCTGAATTTAAAATATTGTAGCTATACTAATGTCACAATTTTTAAATAGCTGTGTGTGTGTGTGTGTGTGCGTGTTTGTATATTTTTTTAAATAAACTATGTTCCTTAAGTTATTTTGTTAAATTAATAAAATCAATGTAGTTTTCTTTATTCTATTTTTATCCCACCTTTCCTTCCTTTTATCCCTATTATTTTCCCCATAATAATTATACCTATGGTATAATTGACTGAGAGAAATAGCCTGGCCCATTTAAATTTGAATGAGAGCTGTTTTAATCCCAAGTCAACACTTACTAAATAATATATAAATGTCACCCTCTGCCATACTTCTTAAAATGTAAAATGGGAATGAGAAATATGAATAAATTTCGTATTTCTTCTAATTCACATTTTACATTTTAGTGGAATACAGTTTACCAGCCAAACATTCAGTAAATGTTTCTTCATACTAAATTGTTATAGCCCTGATCTTTTGATGTTGGAGATGTATGTCAGTGTTATGGCAAAGTAGGGTCTTTTGAGTATTTTTATGCTTGAATCAAATGATCGAATGATAATTTTTCCAGTATTAGTGAAAAAAAATCTTCACATACATATTCAGGTAAACATATGGTAATGATGCAGCATTACATTTTTTGCCTGGAGTGTTAAAATTATCTATTCAGAAATTCAGAAATGTAATCAGGAAATAGGAAATCAAAGAAGGGGGTTTCTCACCTTCAAGAATATGCATTCTGACTAATTCTGATCGATCGGGTCTACTGCGTATTTTATGCTTCAGAAAATTTTCAGTCTGGAAAATATACACGTAAAGATATACACATTGCACTTACTGTTAATAAGCACAAAATAGTCCAGTTTTGCTGAAACTGATGGAAACTGCAAAGTACTGTCAGACAGAAATTTTACTATCTGCCAATGCTTTACAAGATGCTGTCTGATATAACAAAACTAAGTTTCATACTTATTTTTAAATCATTTAGAAAATACTATAGAACATCAAGTTTTCAGTAATTCATTCAGCAAGGTGCAAAATACATTTCAAATGTTATATTCCAAGTTTCATTGCATTAAAAAAAACTTATTCTTATAGATGGCATATTTCTATTCTTCAAAGGCATAGAAGAATTCTAACTTTATACAGAAATAGAATGCTAATTAGTCTAGAGTCTGAGGTTCTTAGCAAATGAACAACAGGTACAAGTAAATGAAGGGTATTATTAAATAGGCTTTGATTTTAAAATAATTTGTTACTTTTCCCTATAATGTAGTTTGTTGATTTTTCCAAGTGTTTATACTGATCACTTTAAGTTGCATTAAGTAATGAATGTATCACAGGAAATGGATGTTGTTTTTCCTTAAACCCCAAACCTGTATCATTTGTTGATGAAAGCCTACAATATATTACAGTCTCACGTACCAACCACAATCTAAAAACGTTATGAACATTAAAAAGTGTCCCTATACCTATGGGTGTTTTTAAAATTGTTATGAATAATAAACCCCCAAGCTATTTCCCTACTTCTCTTAGTTTCTAAGCAAGTGTAATAAAACAGAGACTGCTGTTCAAGAAAAAAGTGAAAGTAATTGTGTGGCATTTTTGGGTCCTCAACAGTAAGTTTTAAAAATTCAGGTGATCATTTAAATTTATAGTTTACCTTCTCAGGTTTAGAACTATGAGAGAAGATGTATAATCTTGATGGCCTGGTTTTAATTGTTACCACTTTAACAAACAATCTCAATTCGTTCTCTTTAGACTAAAGCAATACAAAAATTTGTATATGTGTTTGGTTTTATTCTATTTTTACTGTATTTTATACTGTTTTATTGTATTTTAATATTTACTGCTGTTTTATTGTGAACCACCCAGAGTCACTTTTTGTGAGATGGACGGTATCTAAATTTGATTGATAGATTGATTGATAGATTGATAGATAGATAGATACTATAACTGCCCCCGCCCAAAAAAGTTCTATTGAGAGTTAGTAGTTAAATATATCATGAACAATTATCAGCTTCCAAATGTAATACTTCAATGGCCAGGTATGAAGCATACCTTGCTAGGGACTGTACAGTATACTGTAAATCTAATTCCAGTGATTAGTTTGGGGGTGATTAAGTTATTCTGAATGTGGTTGTAGGTCTGTGTGGTTAATCAAGCTGTTGTTTATATTCAAATGGTTTAAATTAGTCCCCCCTCAATTTCATTATAGAAAGACCTAAAGTTTAGTTCCCAAAGTCTATTACAATTTCTCCTTGTTTCCCAAGTCCTTCACAGATCACTTTTCCAAAGACAATCATATGCAAAGAATAAAAGAACATGTCTGAACGTGATTCCTCACCCTGGCTCTTTCCAAACTCTTTATCTGCTCATGAAATGCAGCTGGGCTCTTCAAAGCTAAAACAAGGAAATGAAAAAGTATCATGAAACAAGGAGAACATAATGGCATGCATAACTATCTTACATTCATGCAAGTTTGTTTGCTAGCTTAGTAGGATGCTAACTTACTGACCTGTCGTAATGATGGGCTCATAGTAGCTGTAATGAAAGCAACCTATCGGCTATGTACTGGATTCCAAACACTTTTTCATAAATATGGAGTAATACCTAAAAGTCCATGAGCAGAAAATGGGCTATTCACACTACTTTTAACCCAGCATATGTAGACCAATTATCTAGCTGCCACATTAGTCAAAAATCTGCATTGCATCAGGTGTCTGCTGTCAAATGAACAGGAATAATTAACACTGGCATACTTTTTCCATTCTCCTTTCATATTCTGTGCTCTGCTTACTAAGTATTTTTTTTAAACTAGTATTGTATTTACTTTAGTGATTTAAGTTGGAAACCAAAAAGAAAAAAATGAAACAGCAACACAGTTATACCATATAAACAAATAGAAAAAAAAAATTAAAGACAGGATCCTAAGGCCACTGTGGGTAACCTCCACCCCACCCGGCAAAATGGCAATCAGGCCCAGTGATAATGAAGCAAGGCTCTGCAGTGTTCCTAGAGTTCTCAAGTGAGAAGTTTGCCAGTTAAAAGTACGTTGGATCAAATCAAAGGACTGTCTAGATCAGCATTACATTCCCACAATGACCAAGAAGATGCCTAGGGAAGCCCAACAGTTAGGATGAAAGTACCACAGTATTGTCCCACTCAAGTTATCCTGCCACTGATACTGAGAAGCATACTGCTGGTGGTCTTGAAGATAATATTCAGTGATCAAAGCAAGTGATAGATTGTCATTTGTCTAAACTTCCTTTAAAGGTAATCACATCAATGGTCATAATTACATCTTATGTAGCCAAATATAATGTCAAGAAGCACTTCCTTTGCCTGTCCTGATCTCCCATCATTCAGCTTCATTAAGGGACCCTGAATTCTAAGTATTATGCATGGAAGAAAAATGTTACCCAATCTACTTTCTCAGCACTATGCATAATTTTATTAACTTCTCTCATGTCTGCCCTCACTTGTCTTAAAAAAAAATAAACTAACAATCCCAACAATAAAATTTTCCTCATTAGGTAGTTGCTGCAGTCCCTAGAGTATTTAGGTGCTCTTTTTGGCATCTTTTTCAACTCAGGACCCAAAATGAGACGGGAAGCAAATTAATGCAACTCGTTTAATACCATGATATGGCATTACATATTCATTGATCTGTTATTATTACAGGAATATTTTTCTCAGGCAAATCTCTACTACACCAGCACAAGATAACAAGATGGTGTTTGCATGTTACATGAAAAACAAAGAAGAAGCACAGTTCTGCCTGCTTTGCAATTCTCAGTACCTGAAAAATGTTAAGTGTGGCTCTTGACTAATAAGAGATAGCCAATCCCTGCACTAAACCATAATAATAACTGAGTGGCAAATATATCTGCATACACCTGCAGAATATGCTTGGAAGAAGGTGAAGCCACTGGAAACTAAGTTCACCAACTTTAGTCTACAAGAACACAGGACTCTCCACTCAGGAGGACACCAGAAAACAAATCCATGGTTTGCTTTTAATCTGTCAATGGCTTTGTCCTCTTGATTCATACAGACACAAAATAAGAGTCTCATTTCTACATACCACATTAAACTATTATAAATCCTTTTTCCATTATTTAATTTCCAGTTACTCATAATAATTGCAATGAATTCCAGGTTTAATACAGTAATATATTTTCCCCCAATTTCCTCTAATTTTCAGATGTTAGTAGAAGTGATATTTAGAGAGAATATGTAGTTGTCAGCCTCCCTTTAAATTTTGAGAGGTCCTAAATATTATTGTCTACTCTTTCATCTTTAATAAGACATCTAAGCACTCAATGTTACAGAAGCTGCAGAAAATAAAATTAGTCTTACGTGGCATGATTCCCTGGTCCACCAGCTGTTCTCTTGTTCGCCTTTGCTGTAGCTTCAGTTGAAGAACTAGCAACAGAAAAAAAAGGGATTTATTACTTGAACACAGAGGAACTCTAACTCACAGATATAATGGGTGCATTCCTTTGAGAGCTAAATACTAGCTGGGATAAATCCTTAACATTAAATGTTTAATCAGAACTAGGGTACATTTATACAGCTCAGATGGTGAGATTATATATCTTTAATAATAATTATATATGTGTGTGTTAGCACTATATATTAACATTATATATTAAAATATAAACACACACACATCATCATCAGATATTTAATCTAGTAATTATGATAGAGAATCTCTAAGACACAATGACTTTTATGGCAGTAATATACAACCTTTCCAGTCCAGCTTCATATAAACAATCACTTTCAACAATAGATAGCTCTTAGGTTGGCATTACTTACTCCAGTATTTTTCCTACAATTACCTAGCTCAGCGCCACAAGCATTACAACTGATGGACTGAGAAGACATTGTTCTAATCAACAGGTATTTACACAAACACATCACTAAAACCCAACATAATTTCTGTGGATGCTCTTCCCTTGGTGGTATTAATGTTTGGGAACACATTATAGGGCACAGACAATCTCAGTCATCAATGTTCTCTGCAAAAGCACTTAGCAGTTCAGCCTGAAAACTGGACAAGAATACTAGCTGACATGTCCCCAGTTCAAAACATGGAACCTTTGGGAAGCCACTATTCTCTACCACACCTGTGGGGTCAATCAGGGACAAGGGTTTTGTCCAATCCATTAGGCAAAGTCACTTGGCATGTTGCTGTAAAGAAACCATAAGTATAGTTTTGTGATACACTATTGTGTTAAGCTGATATCTAAGACCTCTTGTAAGGTTTCTGATGATCCATTTTTTCTGTTAATCTATCTCATCTCCAAAATGTATTAGTGCTCAACCTATTTATTCAGTTATTATCTTGCTGGTGTTACACATAAAAACCAATACAGCTGTTTCACATAAAATTTCAAGCACATGACAAAGGCCCATAAATCTTTCTCCAGGTTTAAAAAACTTTCTCTGCTTTGAAAGTTTCAAGAAGGCTGCCATATTTTTAACAGACCAGTTAAACTGGCAAGTTCTATTAATTTGTTATTCAAACATTAATAAGAGTTAAATCCTAAACATTATTACCCAGAATAGCATCCTTGTGAACTCAATGGAACTTGCTGAAATGTATGTATAAGTACTTAGGACTTATATGAAGCACTGAGTTCAACCCTCTTCTCTTGCAACATGCTATTTTTAATAAGATAATTCTGAATTACTGCAAGCCTGGACCTTCATACAGAAACCAGTTCTTGATAGAAAGATGGGGAAAGAGGAGTAAGGAAAACTGCAGTTTATAGCATCCACAACTTATAAAATTTCCAGAAGATCAACAAAATGGATAGCTTTAGAACAACAGTCTAACTATTTTCTGTACAATCTAGTTTTTACCTGTTTCCAATTATATCTTAATGCTTATCCCAGAATCAGATAGCAGGGGGAAAAAAACACCTTTGTAAGCAAGTCTCTCTTAGTAAAGGCTTTAAAATACTTTAAATTGGGAATCTACATACAATAAAGTATACTTTATTCTCTTCCTTTTTTTAAAAAAAATGTACATTTAAGTCAAAGTAATTTTAAGATATAAGAACATAAATAGTAATAAATTATCAAAATAAGCATTCCTGCTAACTTAGATAAAAGACAGTCCTCACACAATGGTATTGTCTTCTTCCAGAAAGAAAAATATTAGTCATTTTTTGAAAGGCTAATAATCTAAATATTCAATATGTCTTTTATTTTTTAAAAAAATATTACAGTTGCTTTCAATATGATTTTAACATATCCAGAAGTCATTAGCTTACAAGAGAGCAAAATAAAGTCTTAATGCTGTTAGAAAGGACAAAAGAATTGTTGAAAAAAAAGTTGAAGATACTACATAATACATTATCTCTAGGCATGAAACTAACAGCTACAAATAAGTTTCCCATCACTTCCTCCAAAATCAACAGTTATTTCTTCCACAAAAAAATGAGATTAATTCCCTAATGAGAGGTCAAAATATTAAAAAGTAATCGGAAAGAAAACTTCTTCTGACAAAAAGAAAAAAAAATGGAAAAGCTAAACTTGCTAACCTTTATCCAAAAGAAAGAAATATATGATATCTATCTACATATCTGTCTACAAATGTATATTTTTTAACTCTAAATCAGCTAGTATTTCTCTATCAGCGACAAATTCAGAGATTGAGTACATTTCTGGAGCATTTCTTCCAAAGCTATGCCACCCTACCCTCGCCCTCCTGCCAACCCCAGCAATGCCTTCACCCTTATTGAGAATGCTGTACGCTGCAGTGCAAGTGGTCCTATCTGCAGTTGCCCTTTACCTAAATTAATGCAAAACATTCCAAATCAGTTTCAGTTTTCAGTGGTATGAATAGTAAGACGCCAGAAGAAAAGTGTTTCTTCAAGGAAATACTTCATCATTATAGCTACAATTAGGATAAAACGTCTAAACAGAATTCAGTCTTTCAATATACAGGAAAGACGAATAATTTCCTTATTTTTTTCAAAGACTTGGTATGCTGTGCTTTTTTTTTTTTTTTAACTTTTTTCTGGAACAGAAAAGAACTTGAGTTGAACCTAGGTTTAACTTTTTAATTTCTGCCCATCCATGCACAGGACAACTAACAAAGCCTACCAACAAAAACAAATGATTAGGAAACTCTAACTAATCTTTTAAACACTTTTAACATCAACTATTTAAGTTACAGTGTTGTCAAACAGTTCAATTGCGTTACAGTGCCAAACATCTGCGTCTAACACAATGTTGTGAAATCTACCCGTTTAAGGTAATGCAAAAGCCACAGGTTGTTAGTGTTCTTTTTATAATATAACATAGACTCAGGAAAGTATACAAATGTTGGATATTTTGACTCTGTTGGAAAAACTAGCATTGTAAAAACAGCTGCTGCCAAAAGTACAGATGACATTAGATGAGCAGAAATCCTATTTGTTATATGGATCATCAAAACATTTACCAGTGCCAAAAACGCAATGCTAGCCAAGCCATGTGCAAACTCCAGTGAAAGAACCAGGCCCCAAACAATATCATGATGTCTTTTCACCACACAGGGTTGTTTTCGCCAAGGAAAGGAAATACAAATGCTTTATCAAATCATCACAATTATTGTCTTGCAGTAAATTTAATAAGAGTTTCAGTCTTTGTAATTCTTTCCAATTGGTCAGGGAGCTTTGACATTTATAGTCTCATATTCTTAAAATGTAAACTCCATAACCAAACAAGATTTGTTGTACAGTTGTATTAAAATATAGTGAAGTTATCAGAAAGGATGGTACAGTTAATTTTTAATGTGTTCCCTTTTCTTTATGGCTTTAAGCTTTTGTTTGTGTTAGCCACTTTTGGTAGTTCAATTCTGAACTAGAAATCTGGGAAATAATCAGAAAATCAGAAAATAAACATTTAGTATTAGATTTACGTCATTTCCACTAATATGTCCTGCTTTCCCTGAGGCCCAATAAATCTAGTTTGGCATTTAAATTTCCATGAAAATGTATTCATGTCTCCTATTTTCCTTTGACAGTACCAACGATGAAAATACAGATAAAAATAGTATCACAATTAAAACATCACACCTCATCCAATAAAAGCTGGAAAACATTGTTAGACAAGAAATAACAGCATCCATCAGAATAAATAATTGAACTAATACAAGGTACTTCTATGAACCTTAGGCTGCAATCCTTTGAAACTTTTTCAAGAGTAATGCTCTTATTCTTAAAAGTAATAGAGATGTAAAGGGTTCTGCTATAAAAGTTGGTTTTGGGATCAGTCAAAAGGAGCCTGACAACCCACACCTATACGTATCCATTCAGGAGATCTATCAAATGTTAAGAAACTTTCACCTGTTTCTTTTTACTTTAAAAAGCCTCCAGGAGTTCAGTGAGATTAATTAACAATTGCTTGCCCCAAAATAAATGTAAATGTACAAATATATCAATAAAAACACTCATTTCTACATTATACAACACAGTCTAGAAAAGCAACAATTCAGATTAAATAGAACAGGTGAAGACAAAATATATTAAAGTATATTGTCAATCAATAACAAATAGCATGTTCATTCCTGAGCTTTACTAATCTCTGCAGTTGTAACACAGAATGAGAAACGTCTGCTAATTCAAAAATTCAGGGCTGCAGTAAGGACTTTGCAGCCCATACTTTGTTCTCCTAAATCTACAAATTATCCCCGAAATTTACAATCTGTTTCATTCAACAGGGTATAGTCAAGCTGTGCTTGACTACACTTACTCCCATCTCCAGAAAGCAAGGGTTTTGTAGCCTAACACATCTGAAGAACACAGATGGAGAAAGTTGATCTAGAGATTCTTTCACACTAGAAAAAAGATGCCAAAAACTTGGGATGCTTTTAGTAAAAGCTTAGATGCTAAGAGTTGGTAACTTCACCTCAGATAATGAGGTTATATGGAGCAAGGCAGTGGTCCATACAGAGATCAACAGCAACAACAGTAAGTCTCATCATAGTTATTTGTTATAATTGTATATTTTGATATTTCAGTAATATTTAATTCAAACTTCAGCAAGTTTTGAACCATTTTCTGTTCATCATCTGAAGTACTATAAAATGTATCAGCTAAAATTTGTCCAGCTACAGTTTGGGATAGGTGAATGTTATAAACACTGTGATTTTTAACTGTCATAGGTACAAATCTCAAAAGTAGAATGAAAAAATAAAGGAAAACACAAAATATAAAACACTCATTTCCCTCTTTCTTAAATGAACCCAGGTTGTTTCATTTGTTAGACATATGAGCTTTTCTCCATAAGTATCTCAGACAATTATTGTTAAATATAATTTAACTGTCCATTTGTACAGACTACAAATGGTCTTAAGTTGCACACCTCACCAAAACACTGCTACTGTTATGCAATATTATAATGTTATTATACAATGAAACAGTAAA